CGCCCGGAGCCGAGCGGTGCAGCGGGGCGCCGGCGGAGCCCCTGAGGGGGCGGTGAGGAGCGACCGGCCCCGGCCCGCCATGGAGCAAGTGAGTCCCACCGGGACCGGACCGGACCGGACCGGGCCGGACGGGGAGAGGAGGGGAAGCCCCGGGACGGGGGCTGTACGGGACCCCCGGGGCGGGACTGGAGCCCCTCGCTGCCGCTGCCGGCCGGGAACGGGGGCGGAGAACCGCACCGACCGCTTTGGGCTTTTTTGGGGTCTCCACCGGCGCTGGGACATCCCCCGCCCCGCTCCGCCCGGGTCCGGTAGCGGGAGGCGGCGGGGGCAGCACGGGGGTGGGGTGGGGGGCAGAAATGGAGAGGCAGAGGATGGGGGTCCCTCCTCCCAAGCCGCCCCCCCGTTGCCCTCCGCGCTCGCCCGGGTGCGCTGGAGCTGCCGGCCGGCGCTGGGACAGAGCATCCCCCGAGCTCTTCGGCTTTTAAACTTTCTGAGCGGCCGGGTGAGGCTGACGGGCAAACGTCGGAGCTGCCGGAGGACGAGTGCTGGCAGAGTCGGGCTTGTTCAAATGCCACGCTTGCTCAGGCCACCTTGTGCTGACTCTTGCCGGGGTGTTGTACTTCCGTACTGGAGCTGGGCCTGGGTCAGACCGCAAGCTTGGCCATGTCCACATACCTAGCAGCCTTCCCCAAGTCTGTCCTCCTCCTCCGTCTCTGCCCGGGACAGGTTTAACTCGGAGAAGGGCAGCAGTGCTTTTCTTTCACATGTAGGTTTTCACGTCCGTGAGATCACACCCCAATAATCCATCCCTGTGCAGATTGATTAAGATGCCACAAATTTATTAGCAAGTTAAACAGGTCGTTTTCTCCCCTCATCTGGCCGTGCAATTATTCCTGCTTCCTTTCCTTAAATGAGGTTTTGCTGCTCATGCACAAAGAAAGCAAGCTCCTGGTAGGGTGGACCGCCGGAGGACTTGCGATGCCGGTAGCTGTGGCTTGTCTCTCCCCACCCCCTTATTTCAGCTCCCAACATTTGGTGGCAAGAATGAGAGCTTTTTTTAAAACAGCGGGGAGATGGCAAAGCAGCCCAAGTTGGTAGCGACTGAAAGTTGTTATTATCCGCCGGCATCCATGAAATTAATCCACAGCAGAGAAACTGCTTCCAGCTGGTGGCCGCTGGCCAAAGGGGCTTCACACCCACCCTGGCATCGACTGACCGGCTCACCGGCCACTCTTTGTTAATGATGAATGAATCCTCCAGTGATCGCTTGCGGGTGGGGGCATCAGATGCAGTTCCCCAAGTTTCACGTGGATCTGAGCAGTTTATTTCCAGTAAGATGGTTTTGCTCCTGCGGGTCAGGAAGAAGTGGAAGTGCTGACAGCCGGGCTCAGAAGATAATGTGGAAAGGGAGAGAAAGAGCCGAGGTCTGGAGATGCAGGTTGTCTCCTGGGAGGTGTTCATCCGTGCCCTGCTAGAGAGGAGTATGCAGTAAATGAGCCACTTGCTTGAAGTGAAGTTACTGTAATTGGGCAAGAGACTTCTGTGCACTATATGTAGTTTGTAAAAGCACCACTGCGATTCAGCTGTTGGGTTTTTTTTTGTGTTGGAAGACATGAAAAGTACGTGGGCTTGTGGGCCCTTAAAATACAGGGGCAGGGGAGGGGGGAAATAACCGTCTAATTGTTAAGTAAAAAGCTGTCCTGTCCCCCTAATTTGGCATCTCTGCTGAGCTGTGAAATGTATGTCTAAACCAGGCTGGAAGAGTGAAACTCATGTTTCACTTATAATGCCACTGTGATATAAATTGCAAAAATGACTCGTATGGATTGGCTTTGGGAGCGATGCCTTTGGCATGAGCCAGCAACGGGATAACTCAGTTCTTCCCTCATTTATGCTGGCTTGCTTGGCTGATGCCAGTGGGTTTCTTCTCATGGATTTACACCAGCATTAGGAATGAATCCAGGCCAAGAACATCCCGGAAAGCATATCTTAGTATTTCTTGCAAAAGGAATACCCACATAAAGCTGAATTAACAACAGCAACTCATCTCTTTGTGCTGTGCTCCGGTTTTAGTTGTGGAATCGCAGGCAGAGAGCGCAGGACGGACACAAAGCCCTGCTTTCGGTGCCCTGCCCTGGCCAACCTCCCCTTGCTGATTTGGTGCAGGGGTGGCGTAAAAATAATCTGCAAAAATGTCAGGTACCGTCTCTGAGACTTTTCTTGCTTTTGCAGGAACAAATGGTCAAGTTGCATCATCTAGTTTTTTACGCCCTTAACCTGCAGGCAAGGGATTACAGCAGCTGCACCCCATCTTGCGATGTGCTGTGTGCGTGCAAGGGGGGAGCTGCTGACCCAGAGTCCGGGCAGCTCAGCAGCCCCTGGCACCGGCAGAGAGCAGGATCGCACCAGACACCCATCACATCTGTCTTATATAGTGGGCACCAGAGGAGGCACCAGGCAGCTCAGGTTCAGGTGACTCCTGTGCAGTGCAGTGCGGGGGACAGAGCCCTTTGCTCCTGGCTGCTGTCATCTGCTGAGACCAGCACTCTCCATCTCTTCTCACCTTCCCTCTCCTGGGCTGCTCAGCTGGGGCAGTCGGGGGCTCGGCAACATGGATCCTCTCTGCGGATGCTCCCGGGTGCTGGCACAGCTGGGAAGTCCTGCCTGGTGTGGAGGGAACCCCATCCATGGCTCCCTCCAGGTGGGTGGCTCCAGCCAGGGCTCCCGAGTGGCCTGGGGAGAGGGTGAGCTGCAAAGCCAGGGCAGGTGCCATCCCCAGAAGGCTGGAGAGCTGCTGAGCCCGAGGGGAGCAGGTAGCCGAGCAGGCAGCGTGGGCTGCCAGACCAGCTCTGCCCTAGCTTTGCAGCTCTGCCTTGTGCAGAAGGGCAGGCATGAGCCCCAACTCCAACGAAAACGGTTACTGGGGCAGGTTGTTTTTTCAGAGGTAGATGTTAAGTGCTGTGTCTTCACAGGGAGTACTTTTATTTTAAAACCAGAGGAGGCAGGGTAGTTTTCACTCTGCAGAGCACCGGGAGAGGCCACGGGTAGACCTATTTGCCATGTGATTTCAGATGGCCTTTCTGCCAGGTGGGGAAAAAGAACAGCAAAAATTCATCTGTAAAGCAAAAAAAAACTCTTAAGGAGTAGAAACATTTTGGCAGCTGTTGGTCTGGAGTCACTTGAATAAACTCTTCGTGCAGCTACATCCATGCAAAACTGCTACGAGGGAGGTTAAAGTCCATGCCTGATTATCTAAAAATGACATCAAAAGGGTGCTCAATCAGGAAACGAGCAGGTCTATATTTGTGCAGCAGTTGATGTTTGCTGAAGTCGCAGATCACAACTGAATACAACTTCCTGGCAACCTAAAAAGTCAAGTTAAAAAAAAACCCAGGCAGTACCCCTCGTTTCCCGGAAAACTTTTTCATGCTCTGTCATCCTGTATTGTGGCCGTTTCAAATGCGGCTCGGTACAATTGAAATAACTTCTACAAAGGGCGCCAAGGATGTTACAGGTTTCCGCCTGATTTTCTTTTATTTGAGGTTTATTTGAGTTTCTTGTTCCCAGTCTGCACCTGAGCCTACCTGCAAAGCAAAGCCTCTTCCCGACCTTTGCAGGGATCAGAATAAGTGTGGGTACATGGGGTATTTAATCTGTTTTTCTTCTTTTTATGGGTGTGAGCTCCCTCTTTAGAGTAACAGCTCACCCTGATGGCAGCTGCTGTCCAAGGGCGTGTTCATTGGGAGTCTGGTGCATGAAAACAAATTTGTTAGCAAAGCTTTCCTCTGAATTTTTGGAGCTCATCTGTATGCACTCGCTCTGTCCTGGCCACGGGAGTGTCCAGCTCCGATTCCTTTCCATACACATGGGATTTCCTCATGTTATGAAACATGATGTCTGAGCTCCAGCCGCCCCAGTTTGTTTTGTTTGGGTTTTTTTTCCTATGAGAAGAGGTTTCATTCAGCAGCTAGCGAGGGCCGTTTGGGGATGGCTGGGGCTCTGCCTTTGTTGCGCGTCCTCTTTTTGTGCAAATATGCTGGCTTTCTGCAGCAGGATTGCTGGTATTACAGACTGGGATGTGGAGGAAACTGAGTCTGGGGGGGACAGTGGGGTTCCTGGGAGGAGGCTGGAGGATTTGGGGTTGGCCTCTCCAAGTTGTTTGTGTAAGGGGGTTTGGCTCAGCAAGGGATTCCGCTCACCTTGCTCTCGGGAAGGAGGCTTACTGAGGGGTCCATGGGGTGTTGGGAGCAGCAGGGCACTCCAAGGGAGAGGAAACAGGGATCCTGGCTTTGCAAAGGCTCTTCCAGTGCACCGGAGAGGAGGAAAACTCTCATCTGTAACCAAGTCTGCTGGTGAAGGCAGTCAGCTAATAAGCCTGACTGCCCCCGCTCACCATCTTAGGCTTCCTGTCTCCGTTTGATGAGAATATTGATATTGGATATTTCTGATGTTTTTTTCAAAGCAGGGAAGTTATGCATCTCCTGGTTTTTCCCAGGCCTGGAAAGCCAGCAGCCTCCCAGTGCAGGATGCTGGGGCTCCCCATGCTGCTGTGGGTGGGCAAGAGCAGGCTGTGACAAACAGCAAGGACCTAAAGGCAGGACAAAAAAACCCCCACCCACTCTTGGTGCTGCCTTCTCTGCCGGTCCTTCTCTCTGCCTACAAACCACACAGGAGCCTGCCGGGAACATTTTAGTGTGGATATGATGAAATTGTGGCCCTCGTGCTGTGGATTTGCCCATGGGAGTTGGTTTGGGGGCGATGACCAAACATAGAGACCTAGAGGAGAAGCTTGCAGAAGTGGCCAGGGGCTAAAATATGAGTGTTGCTACTGATGCCAGCAGGATCCGTCCCATTGGGACTCATCGGAAAGCATAAGGAGCAAAGCGGAGAGGAGGGTGCTTGTTTTCAAGGAGCACTTGGTGCACAAGCAAGCAGGGAGTACCTCCACAGAGAGAAGGAGGTGGACTTGCTGCCATTCCAGCAGTGTCCCTAGCGGTGGCCAGGGTCCATGCCCACTCCCCGGTCCTGTGGGAGCTGGTTGAGTTTTCCTCTGGAAGATGCCAGTCTTTTGCCTTGTGATGTGGTGGGGAGGGACCACGTTTGGTGCGTGCTGAGGTCTTCTCTGGGCAGGCTTTCTGACAACCTTCATTAAATGGATGGAAAGTGCTTTTGATGTAATTCCTTCTCCCTTCTGTCCTTGCAGGATACAAAGGAGGAGGTCTCAGAGAAACCAAAGTCTGCTCCAACCGCAGAGAAATACGGCTGGATTAAGAAAAGCAGTGGGGGACTCCTGGGATTGTGGAAGGATCGTTACATCCAGCTACGGAAAACACAGCTCGTGGTCTATGAGGATGAGGTATGGTCACAGCTAATGGCTGTGAATGAGGGGCAGGATCAGGCCCTTGGTGATGCACGTTCCTGTGTTTTTCACTATTTCCTCCTGCCTTTCAAAAAGGCTTCTCCACTTATCTCCAGGAAGGGTAAATGCTATAAAGAAGAGACAGCAGCTGCATTTTAGAGTATATTATGTATTATAAATATTTTAGCCAGTAAATATTTTGACAGTGCCACTGCCAAAATAAAAAAATGGGGGCAGGACATCCTGTGAGAAGGCGAACGGAGTAAAGCTTTGGGCGGAAGCAGGATATGTGCTATGCCTTTTTGGCGTTTAAAGGATAAAACTGGATTGTAGCAGGCTGACTTCCCACCTGCTGCTTGAGGGAATGGCAGGCAACCCTGCAGCTGTTTGGCACCCCTCAAGCAGCTCAAACTGTTGCTAGTCAGACTCTTCAGGGTTTTGTTTAGCCACTCATGGATGCAGGGTGAAATTGTGAGTGCTTGCTGTCCTTAAGCAGGGACACAGTCTGGATTTGGCTCATCTTTTCCCTTTACTTGAGCCAGTACTGAGCAAAGGACCCCTGGGAGCCTTGTCCTGGACTTCCCTAGATAAATTGCATGCCTTAAGTTCATGGCCTCATTTAAAGCTGTTTCCAATGAAAGGAGAAATGAGAGCCGAGCCAAATCTGTCCTGCATCTTCATGCGAGAAGGATGAGAAGTACATGGCTGGTTCTGCCAGGCTGCAAAGGTGGCTCTTGCCTGAGTCAGGCCCTCAGTTCCTGGGCTGGAGGGGGCTTCTGCAAGAGCAGAGTTTGCCCCAAAAGTTAGAAATTATGGTGCAGAGGACAAGCTACAACCAAGAGAGGTTTGAGATTAGGGGTGGGTAAGTCGTAAGCCCTGCTGGTATATGGTGGCTAGAAGTTCATGTGTGCACCAGGGTGGAGGAGGGTTTCTCATTGCCTGGTCTGCCTGAGGACCACGTGCTTGTGCAGTGTCTGACAGAAGGGGATCTGGGTCATTCGTGGGCATCAGGATGACATAAAACCAAAATCATGTAAAGCCTCTGTGCAGCCTATCAAGGGAAGAATGGGGAAACGTTTCAGCAGCTGCATTGCTGCAATGGTTTCAGGAACAACAGGACTGACAAATGAGTTTGGTTCTCTTTTTTTTTTAAAACATACTATTGCCTAATAAAGAAGTTTTGGTATAAACAGTTTAGGTTAAAGGGTATTACCTCCTCCCATATGCTGAACCCTCCTGCTCTTCCTGAATCCCAAAGCTTTTTGGAGGCATTTGTTCTTAGTTTTGAAATGTCATGAAGAGTGCAAGAGTAGTGAAAGGAGAAGTCAATGTCAGGTGATGAGCCTCTTGGAAGGCAGGCAAAGTGGTGGGGCTTTCTCTTAGGCAGAGAGATGCAGCCTGGTCCTGCAAATGGTCGACTCCTGCAGATTGCTTCCCAGTGCCCTGGACACCTGTTGACTCCAGCTGAAGCTTCAGGAGCTCACAGATTCAAAATCTATAAATGTGACGTAGGTTTTTTTAAAGGGCATGCCTTTAAAAACAAGATATATGCAGGCTCTCATTACCACAAGGGAGAAGGAGGCTTTTAAAGTAAGATTAATATTCACAGATGTTCAGAAGAAGGAAAAGTCCCAATCATTTAAAGGGTTATTTTATTATCTCAACAAGGAAAATGGCATTTGTAACAACCAGGCGTAACGTTTTCTGGTAGCTTGCGGATTGAGGTAACATCCTGTAATAAATTGCATCTGTAAGCTACAGTAGCTACAAGGTCCCATTATTGTAAATAAGGGATCATGTTAATATCTATAGGCTATTAAACTGGCTTACAGTGAAGTCAAATATCTTAGGAGAGGAAATTGCTACAAAATTATCTGGTAGCACAATAGGATAGCATGTGATTGTGCAGACTTACTACAGGGGAACTAAAGGAAATGGCAATTTTCTGCACTCAGGAGGGGTCCTGTTGCCACAGAATTGAGGCAGTTCATGTTTATTACTGTATTTATCTTCCTTTAACGTGAGTTAGGGCAGTGTTGCTGTCTCCGTCTTACAATTGGAGAACTGAGTTTTTGAGATGAGAAGGGCCTTGCCCAATGTCAAAGGAGAGTCTGTGGTGCAGCGTGCTATGGTGGCTTTTATTTCTGGAGCTCCAGCTGCCGTTTTCCCCACTGTACCTTCTCCACATACCTGCCCTGCTTTGTGTGACCCTGGAGACAGACACAGCATCCCAGACGATCCACAAGCTGAGACATTTTAAAATGGGATTGTTCAGTGCTTGCTGAATTGGGGCCCTAGAAAAAGAAAGGAGATAAAGCTTCAGGTAACAGAAATACAAGCATCTTTCCATATGTATCCTAAGTTAGACCTAAATGGGTTAAATGGGAGGGAGGTCGGCTTCCATGTGGGAGGGCAGGTTTAGAGACTGAGTATTTCAACTTGTCTAAGCCCATCGGATTTCCAGGAACTGAGCTAGTTGTGCTTTTATCATCCCTCCTGTGTTTCAGCCCTTCACGAAGAGGTGCTAATATTGCCTTTAGCAGTTGTTTCATATGCAGACACACTTTTTTATGCAATTGCATGAGGTGGGCTGCACTTGTTGCTGAGGTTTGTGTGTGCAAAATAAGAGCGGAGGTGATGGCCAACGCAAGATGCAGGCAATAATTTTGTACTGTGTCACCGGAAAGTACAGTCTGAGCACAACGCGAATACTGTATTTATCATCATCAATAGCAATCTCCTGGAATGTGCTCCCCACCTGCCCACGGAGTGTGTTTCCCATATTGCGTCTGTTAGTCAGGCTTTGGTTTGGTTTAAAGCGGAGCTACCTCCTGAAGACAAATTGCAAATGGTATTGTATTACCTGGAGCAGATGGGGGGTGAAAGTCATCCCACTGGGCTTCAGGTTTCTTTCAGCGGATGTGAAATGAAGGGAGATGGATTTCTTGTTATCTGCTGTGCCTCCATCTACAGGACCCCACAGCTGTACCCTCATGTAAACTAAGAACCAAGCAGGCACGTTATTTCCTAATGGGTTTTCTTGTTTTCTTGTCTCTGCATATTCTTGCCAGGATAAAAATTAAGCCTTGCAAAACTACAGAGGGCATCTGAAGAACAGGCAGTCCTATGCAGAGAGACTACACAGATCAGTATCATCACTCCATGGATTAGAGAGCATCAGGCTTGGGTTTGGGTTTTTTTTTTCCCTAAACAGTGCAGCTAGTGGTTAGAGTTGGTTTTTTGTTGTTTTGGGGTTTTCTTAAGTGTATTATTTGACAGGGAAAAGATAATAGACAAAGGGTCTTCTAGAGACCAGAGGATCCACTCAGCATTTAGCAGTGGTGCAGTTAACATCTGGATTTTGCCCCTGGTAAAGTGATAGCAATGTATACCAAAAAGTGATTTATTAAAATGCTTTGAGATCCTCAGATGGAGAAGTAAATTATTATTTCAGGCAGTCTAGACATTGTACGCTGAATGGAGGGGCACAGCCCATGAATGTGTGTCAGTGCAGAGGTCTTTGTTGGAAATTATACCTTCATATAAATAAAAATTTCAGTGGGTCTTTTTCCCCCTTTGTATCAACTTTTTGCTAAGGAAATTGTTTGCCAAGTGTGATTCTTTGGTTAAGCGCGTGCATTACTATGTTTAGGTGTTCAGTAGTTTTCTTCTTAAGGGCCAAGCTTTCAGACACATACATGTTTAAGTTGCAGCATCTGCTCCGTGAATAGCTAATGGAATGGGTTTTCTGCATTAAATCATGAATGTAGGGGTTTCTGTACCAGAATTTTAAATGTCTTATTGATTGTCCCTTACAGCAAGCACAAAAGCAATTTAAAAAACAAGCCCTAAAATCTGTAGAGGAAAAGAGAAAGGTGGCGTGAAGAGAATTCCCTGCCTTGATCAGCAGCGAATGCAGGGCCGTGGGACAACCCTGCGAGCTGTGTGCTGCCAGGAGGTGTGACCACTGTGTGCGGACTCAACCTTTGTGTCTCAGGATGATGTAAAAGGATTGCTTTAACTTCTGTGGGACACTAGAGACCAAATGGGGTGGTAGCTTGTCCAGAACACGTGTCTGAGATCCGTGTATGAGGGCAGGACTCTGGAGGTGACCTTGTGTCTGCGTGATGCTGAGTATCCTCCAGGTCCCAGGAGGCTGAAGGGACCTGGAGACCTGCAGCAGGGTTGGGTCTTCTGGTCTTTATCTTAGTGGTGCAGGGCAAACATAAAGGATCTGTTTGTGACCCAGGTAGGCTCACAGAGATGAGATGGCTGCATGCAAAGGGTAAAAAAGAGAAAAAAGCCCCATTCTGGCACTCCCTGAACTCAGATGCTTTTCCTTTGCTCTCAGACATGAAGTTTTCTTATTTCTGTGGCTGCTTTCTTCCTTGCCTTCCCTGAAGACGATAACTTGCTTGAGAAGTTCAGTTCTCTGAGATGAAGGAGCCATAGCTTGCACAGTCAAGCCAGTGCCCGGGGTCCGGCACATCCCTGTCCTTGCTGCCCTTGTTCCCTGGCCAGACCATAGTCCCCAGAGCCTCCCCAGGGAGGAGAGGGGCAGCTGGAAGGCAAGAAGCAATGTCACAGCAAAACCACAGCTCTCCACCCTGCCGAGTCCTTCTTGTCCCCCAGCTCAGTGCTCGGCTGTTCTTAGGAAGCAGAGGACAGCTTGCACGGGATCAAAGGGAAGGTTCCCCTCCAAGGGGCAGGAAGGATGGCGTGGACAAGGAGGGTGACACGGAGCCACTGGGCTATGCTGGGGACAGAGCTGCTCTCGAGAGTGGGGAGGGTGGGCAGGAGTCTTCGTGCTGGTCTCCAGTCAGAGCGCTGCCAAGCCGCCTACATCCTGAGCCCAGCAAACTTTCACGTCGGAGCTGGTAACGACACCGGCCGTGCGGCAGTGCTGTGATGTGGGCGGTCGTCCACCAAAGGCCCGGATGAGATCACCCATCCCTGAGGCATGTATTCCTGACCTCACCCTTCTCTGTCATTTGTTGGCCGCTGAGGGGTTATTATTTCCATCCCTGTCCTTTTGCAGTGACATTGCGATACCAGGATTGCAGCAGGAGCCTTGTGCCTTCAAAGGGCTCCGTAACATCAGCAGGATTTTATCTGCTAGGTTTTAGGTTTGGGCAGGATTAATCTCCTCCTCCTAGTATACATTTTCGCAGTTCTCTGGTCACGTTCACCCATTCAGCGTTAAATGAAATAAACAGTAATGTCATTAAAATAATAAACCTAAATTAGATCCACGCATCCCTTGGTGGCTCAGAACTTGCTCTGTGTATCGGCATTGGTTCTGCCAGGCCTCCATCCCCAGATAGGAGGGTTAAAAAAACCTAAACAGAGCCTCAGCTCTGCACAGCAACTTAAATGTCAAGTGGTAAAGGGAGGAAATTCCCTGCAGCCCACTTCCCTCTGAACTCTCCATTCCCTGCCTCCAGCCACGCAGCAGCTTCCTGGCTACGACACGTTTCCTCATCCCACACTCCCTCTCTGCTCAGGAATTGCTAAATACAAACTCGTACGGGTATGAGGAGCTGCCTTGGGGATGGTCATGGCCAGCAGTTTTAATTCAGGATGGTAACAGAGAGGTTCATGAGGCATGCTGACCGTAGCTCTGCGATTCTCACTGCTTATTTGTGTAATGCTTAGCAAAAGGGAGCTTTGGTCTCTTCTGGGCTACTGAGACATGAAGAATATTATCTGCCTGGTGTTATGCTGCAACTCCTATTAGGGATGGTGCTCCGCAGCTGAACTGAGCCACGCAGCACGTGTGGAATTTTAGTTATGTTACTGGGAGAAATGAGCCAAGATCGTGGCCGGCAGTCATCAGTGGAGATACACAGAGATAAATATTCCCCACCGAGACGCTGGCCCTGACAGTTTTGCTGGCTGTACGGGACCATATTTCCAATCCTAAGCATTTTGACAGCTCAGAGCGTGGCTGCAAAAGGAGCACATCCCAGTCGCACGTGGCTCCCACTGACCTTGCTGAGGCTCAGCACAGTGGCAGGGCTGGCCTCTTATCTCCTCTCTGCCTTGGGTTTCCGGGGGCTGCTGGGACCGTTGTCATGCTTGCGTTGTCTTTCCCGTGAAAAAGCAGAATAACTCCCGCATTCATTGTGGGTCGGAGGTAATGTCACCAAGCTACGGTGAAGCATGGGGAACGCTCTGAGATGATGCCAGGAAGGTTTATAAAAGTGCATCATGTTATTCCTCCTTCCTATGCCAGGACTGACAGCACATTCTCAGCCTGTGGCTCGGACCCGATGATGGGCAAAGACCTTCCCACCTTGTTTCTGGCTGCAGATCCCTGGATGAGGCCAAGAGAGACGGCAGAAGCTGGTGTTGCTGTCCACAACATGTTATTTGCTCAGCCGCTGTGGACCACTAGCCACAAATTGGCCTGTAGCGTAAAGACTAGGGTGTTTTCTTAGTGAGATGGCAGCCTGATTTATAGGGCCTTGCTGTCTGGATGCAGGTTATTTTTAAGGCAGGAGAGCTTTTAGACAGATGCAAGGGGAAGACATGCAGAGTTTGATGGTATATGATTGATTTCAGTGCCTCCTATTCATAATAATGTTTCATTCCCTCTCTGCAGGATGAACAGAAGTGCATAGAAACAGTGGAACTGGAGAGTTATGACAAGTGCCAGGAACTGCGTGCACTACTAAAAAAGAAAAACCGTTTCATTTTAATCCGCTCCCCGGGTAAGAAGGTAGGATTGCCTTTCTCATCACCCTCAAGTCTGCTAACTCCAAAATGAGTTCCCAGGCAGCTGCGCCCAGAGCAGATGAAAGGCTCTGAGATTTAGCTCTTTGGCAGCTGGGAGAAATGACCTAAAACTGTGAATGGTCTACAGTGTGTAAGGAGGAACGCTACTTGTAGACTTTCTTCTTGTCAGGGGAAAAGGGTCTTCCTGCAACTCAACTTTTTCCTCTTGATATTTTTCCTGCCTTATCATTTTCTTTCTTCCAGTACTCCCTGAGCAGTGGAGAATGACCATTCCCTGTGGATTCCCCCATGTGCTCTGGGCGAGGAAGTGTCCCTGTCCCAGCTGTACATGCTGCAGCTTTGCCCAAGTTCCAGTGAAATCAATGATCCCAATCCATGTACTGAGACAGTTGCTGGAGTTGGAACCGTTGATCTGAGAAACTCCAGTGCAAAGTTACTTGCAGCCAAACAGTTCCTAGGAGAAAAGATTTAATTTGCAGAATTCATGAAACTCTACATCTTTAGCTTCCTGCACAGCATCTGCTTAGATCCAGAACCTAACAACCAGGCTGGTGTTGCAAAGAAGCTATACATCCATCTGAGCACTGACTGTATGCTTGCCTTACTTCCTATGTAGGTTCATCATCACTACACATCTTTGGAAGTTCTTAGCTCCTACTTACATGCTACCCATTTCAGCATCTTTATGGGCTGGGATGCTTCTGTTGTTGCTTTGAGGCATGACACTTTGACTTACTTCTAATTTCAATGTGATTTTACTGGCCTAAGAGGTCTTACTAAATCTCCCCATGAAAATCTGAGAGGGACAGAACATATTTATTTCCATAAGAATGTGAACAGGCAAAAATACTAACTTGCCTGCATTCCCCCATCTCCATTTTGTTTAAATAAATGGAGATTGTTTAGGCCTTGTTGTCATTGTTGCTTATTCTTTCACTCCAGTCACTTAGTGTTTATTCGTATAAGACTCCAGCTGAGTTCAGAGCATCATTGTGCTAAACTTCATTCAAAACAACAAAACAAGGATTATCCTTCCCCAAAACACTCACATGGACCAGGGTGGGGGTGGAGAGTGAAGGTGAATGATATTTGTTTTGCAAGTAGGCGCAGTCTGTATTGGGGAGAAAAGTGATGTTAAACACCATGCACCAAAGTGATGATAGCCTGGAAATTTGCGCCCTGGGCTAATGAGCTCCCGCCCCACACCAGATTCTGGAGCAATGAGTCTCCCCAGTCAAAGTGGAGGTTTAGCATTTGCTTTGTAACTTGATTAATCAGAAATAATGTCAATTTTAGATCAAAAGTGGCTAATCCTGGCAGGCTTGGTGTGTTTTCTAGAGGGTGGGTCAATAACTACAAGTGGACACCTATTCCCAGGGAGGCGAATAAAAGCCTGAGTGCTCAGAGGTGGGTGGCACAGTAGGAATTATTATTATCTGTAAGTTACTTAGACGTGTGTAATAGCTGCAGATGTCTCTGCATTGCTGCATGAATCAAGACAGGGTGTGAGACCTGTTCCTAAACCTTTCATTTCTTGCTAGGAGAAAGATATGCCCAAACTGTGTCCCAAAAGGGTAACTTCATCTTTTTGGCATGCTGGCAAGTTTACAGCTCCCCTGATTTTCATGCCACTGATTAAATGGAGACCTAGATAGAGGATACTTTTTATAAGGCTCTTTTGGTGAAAGGAAAGGCTTTTATAAATGAGAAGTTCCCTGTTTGTAGCTCCCCTCCCACCCTCGTTTTGGCTGGGAATCTGGTGAGGGTGTTGACACACAACATACTTTGGCAGATGTTAGAACAGGCTTCAATTAGGAGGCCAATATACACAACTGTCCTTCTTCTGTTTTGAAATTGCAGCTGTGGCGATATATATCAGCTAAACATTTTCCATTTGGGAGGCTTGCTGCCATCCACAGTTTAAAATCACCCTGTGAGCTGCCTTACCAAGCCTTGCCAGATCTTGCTAGCGTTTTTTTGCCCCCTCTCCTGAGCACAATGCTGAGGAATGCAGAAAGCCAGTGAGTTTGTGGGACTTATGAACAAGCTAGGAAAGGCCATTTCTGTTTCAGTGCGCAAATAGGAGTTTCCCTGTTGAAAACAGGGAGCCCAGTTTAGCTGTAGGGTGATCCTGGTTTAAATCTTGGATGGGATATTCTTGAAGAGCAGAGAGCATGAATCAGTCAGTTATAACTAATCTGCAACTAGAGTTGCACCCAAATAACTAAGTTGCCTTGCTAAACACTGGTCTTTGATGGATGTAGCCCAGATTCTGCTTGCCCTGTTCACAAGGATGACATTTTTGTTAAGCTGTGACAATATGAGCATGTCACATGCCTGCACTGGTGTGGAGCTGAAACGAAGTGCTGCTGGAAGTGTGCAAAAGACCCCTTCTGCTTAGAAATCTCAAATGCTTCATTCCACCTGCAGCAATTAAATGAAAACTGTTGGATGCAGAGAGCTGAGTGTGTAAGAAAGGGCAGCAGACTTGGCCCAGAGACTTTAAAACATACTCACGATGCAAAAAGCAGTGTAAATGATGCTTGGTGTACACTGCCTAGAGACTACAGAGATTGGCACAAGTCTGGTATTCAGCAGGTCTGAAAGCCTTCAGCTGCAGAGAAGTCTTAAGAATGGGAAGAAAGAGGGTGGTAGTAAGGGAAAGAGGCCATGAGCAAGCACTGCAGCTCCCCACACGTCCTTTTGTAGCATGGCCAGCCACAAAGTCTGCACCTGTGGTCAGGGGTGGAAACTTCCATTGCTTATTTTCCCTTAGTCGACTTTGGAGGTACCTGCAGCCGCTTCCACCAGGGGCCCTGCCTGGAAGCTGCAATAGATCGCAGCAAGGCACCTTTGCCCTGTGCATGGAGGAGTCTGCTCCTGTGGTCTGCCAGTTTGGCAGAGATGCTGCATTATTCCCGGGTTTGAGGTAGCTCTTGGTTCAGCTACAGAAAACCACAAGAATCACCTAACTGACAGTCCTTTGGCTTCTACTTTTCCCTCCATGATCTAACCTGACAAAGTCATGTAGAAGAAGGCAGGAGATGACCTCACGTCTGGCAGATGATAGACTCTGGTGCACTCTTGGTAGTTTAAGATGTTACTGACCCAGCTCTGCTCTGGCTTCTGCTGGAGGTGACCAGCCTGTACGAAAAGTCAGCAGAAGGGAACACATTCCCACACCTAAACCAGCAGTTCACAAGCAGTTCACAGTGCAGTTTAGCAAAGCCCCACTGAACTGAAGTCAGTACCAGGCTTTGCACTGAAACAGCTGAGGAGCAAGCACAGGTTTCTGTAGCCCACCTCTCTTGCAGATCAGCAGCATCTAGCAGAATTGCTCAGCAAAGAGCTAGTGTTGGTAAAGGTCTTAAACTGCAGCTATGCTATTCTCCAGAGCTTGTCTGTTAAATCATTTAGTGCAGGTATAACAGACTGACCCCAGGAACACTTCTCTTTCCTGGAAAGCAGGGTCAGCATAGCCATAAGACTGTCACTGCTTGAAGAGACTGATGTGTCCAAGACATGAAGCAATCGAGGAGACTGTGGTTGCTGCTGCCACAGACAGCGACCCTTGTGTGAGCCTCTTGTTCCATGCTATCTAGCCAGTGATTCAGCAGGAGCTGACTGGCTGTGCTGTGCTCCGAGTTAACTGACAGTAAATTGCGTAGTCTGTATTCATGCCTTACAATGGTCACTATCACATTAGGTTTAGCCATGACAGCTTTTCCTGGCACACCAGCCTGTTGTTTATGGCATGACTCAGTCTCAGCTGGCTTAGCAAGAAGGAGAGCAAATGTGTTACCCTGCCTGCTGCCCTTATACTGGTGTCACAACTCTCTACCTTAAATTGCTGCTGGAGAACAGACCATGCTTAACGTTTTGTGGGAAGTATCCATCTTCAGGTACATCCTTTGATATCTGTGAATATGCAAATGAGTAAAAATACAGTCAAGATAAATTCATTTGTTCCTTGTTTGTAGAGGACCTGGGCATCTCAGGCTAGTGTACAGAGCCCCAGTGGCAGGCAGGACTGAGACCCAACTCCTCCAGCTCCTTTCTGCCTCTCCTCTGCAGCTGTCTGCTTTATAGAGAGCTTCCATCCCACTTTGGGTTAGCTTCCTCTCCCCAGTGCTGTGGCTGAGGATGCCAGCCACAGATGAATGCAGACAGACAATGCAACAAATTGGCTGGTAGCATCCTGAGCACAAGCCTCAGAGCCCCAGCAGCCTGACTCTTCCTTGGTATCTGTGGGTATTGTTCTAAAAAGGAGAAAAAAGTTTTCAAACAAAGATAACTGGGCATACTGGGAAGAACCTGCTGCGAGCCTCAGGGCTGCCCCTCTGTGTCACAGCCCCAGGGACTTGCGCAAGCAGGGAGCAGGGCTGCAGCGGCATGAGTCTGACATTGCCCACGCTGCCCCATCGCAGGGAGCGGGGTCCCACGCAACGTGCTGCTTGTCCTCTCTTGCCCAGCCCTTTGGGCAACTGGAGGGCTCTTTCTGCTGCTGCCTTGGGAGCATCTTTCCACGAGTCCCTTTGCCTCACCATCCATTGCGCCTGTGTTTGGTGGCCCCAGCGGTTGGTCAGCATTACACTGTGAGGCAGAGGGTTGTGTGCAGGAGGGACATCTCAGCTTCTCATTAATGACAAACCATCCCCCTGAGGCTTCGTTCTGCCCTGCTGCAGGGTTGCTGACACCAGCACTTAGTCACAGGCTTGGAAGCTTTATTTGGGTGCCGAGAATGAGGCACAGAAAGTGGCATTGGAAGAGGAAGCTTGAAGCGAGGCAGGAATCCTTCCCTTGAACAACATGTACGGAGATTTCTAAACCCTGGTGCAGGCTGCCAGGTCTTTGCCAGGCAGTGCAGCAGCTCAGCTGCTCACAAGTAGAGCTTTCTCATAAGCTTTCATAATCACAAAGCTTTGGGGCAAAATCGTTTCCAAACAAAAAAAGTTTTTAAGCACACACAAAAACAGGCCTGCTTGGACTAAAACAAAATCTGGCTGTCGCTCTGTTTTGGAGCTTTGCCTTCCCTTAGGTTCCCTGCTTAGCGTGGCCCTTCTGTGCCCCAGACAAAGGGCTCTTTTTCTAGTGGGCTGTGGTTCAGGCCCTAACCTCTCCTCTGAGCTCTCAGGAAGACATGTGGTCCCGTCACCTTATGTGCAAACTAATCGAATAAATAATCTTTCCCCAGATTGCTTCTTAACTCCCTGCTTGCCACGCTGGTTGTGAGAGTCTGGCACTTTGTCACTGTGACGTGCAGATGTAAAACCATGTAACTGAAGCGAGGAATAAATGCAGAAGGGCAGGACAGTTGATTTCTACCTAAACAGTAGGAGTGGGTGTAAGGAGATCAAGCTTTAGTTCTGCAGAATTTCTGATGGTACCTTCAGAAGTTGCTGAGACCCAAAACAGTTGCTGCTTTGTTGTGCCATAAATAAAACAGGGAGCTGCTAAGAGCATTCAACTGTCAGTCACTATTAGCTTTGTCACCCTCATTTTATATAGTCCCTGTTTTATATAGACCCTGCTGTGATTTCAGAATGTGAGGCCTCATTTACAAAAAGACTGGGACTACAATTGCTCTTGAAGGCAATGGGAAGGTGGAAAATACCGATAGGATGTTAAATACCCGAAAAGACTATTCCAAACAAGACCCCACTAGTATGTGTTTTGAATGAGCCTCTCTGTAGCTCACTTCCCCACCTGTAAGAGGTGGATAATTTCAGTTGCTCTGAAAAGTAATTTGTGAAGACCCCAGATAATTGTATTGATAAGCAGCAAAGAAGAGATTATCAGGGGAATCAGTAATTCTGTTTTCAGGACAGGGCTTGAGCAGAGTGCAATCAATAAGACATATTGACCCATGAGGATAAAACACACGATGGGATAGCTCAGTAAGAAGTGCCGCCCCTGTCATTGGGGATGGTACTGGGAGGAATATGCACAGCAGGCCGAGTTAGGACTGCCCCAGCAATGTTGAGATTGTCTAATTTTTAAGTTCTTGATTTTGCAACTTTGATGATGTTCTTTAGCACAAGAGTATTTCTGTGTGCCTGTGCATTCCGGATTAGGGCACTGCATGCAGCTATTTCGATCCAAGCCAGTCTGCCATGGAGTCACCTGTAATGTGACAATGATATTTCTCTCAGCTGAAGTGTATGCTAGGGCAAAGCTACATAATACTGGTGAGGTGCTCAGAGAACACAGCAGTGAAATAAGTAACACCTAACCTATTTTCCCTGCTGTGGTCAAGAAGAGATTCAAAACACTGAGCAAAGCCACGGGACTACCCTGGAGGAAGGGGAGAGCTGGCTAGCTGGAGGACAGGCCATACAATCACCCACTGCTCCCTCCTTATTTGTGTCTCATGCTTCTTGCCAGCTCCCTCTTGTATGGCCAACTCTTCCCTTCTTGTTAGGATAGCTATTCAAACCTCAGAAAGTGTATGTCTGTAGCGTTCACTGCTGTATTTCTTCATTTGCAAACAGAAAAAATATGGTTAATTTTTTCCCATACATTGCCCTTATGCCTCATCACGTCTGTGCTCAGCTGAATTGGGGTTAGTGCAGCCAAGGTCAGAGCCCCAGGTTCCCGTATCAGTTCTGTTGTGCAGAGCTGCAGGAACAGGGAAGCAGGCAGAGCCTGCTGCATGCAGCCTTCCCGTTGCTTGCAGCGTGGGGGGAAGTTGGAAATAAAGTACTTTATTGCATCTGAACCAGCACAAACTGACTTGGACTTTCAGTCTCACTCTATACACAATGTGACCATTTGCTGTACAAACAACTTGCTGCTGCTCTAGGAGCTATTCCCAGTGTTCTGCAGAAGGAAGAAACTCTTACTTTCTCACTACTTTAGTTACTAGTTGCAAAAATAAAACTGCAACAACAAGCTGTTCAGCATAACAAAATCCTGTTCATGGGAGCTGTGAAGTGAAGTATTTGCCAAAGCACAAAGGAATCTGTAGTTTAAACACAGGCTGGAACTGAATGTTATATAGAAAATGAAGTGATACATAGAGAGCAGAGAGCTACCTCTCTTGTCCTGACAAGGAATGCTTCGGCAAAATTGTCTCTGCTCTTGCAGGTTCATGATATCAAATTTCAAGCTCCAACTTTGGAAGAAAAGGAATCGTGGATAAAAGCACTTAATGAAGGGATCAATAGAGGCAAAAACAAAGTATTTGATGAGGTAAGAGAAACAGTTTTCAAAGTCCTGTATTTCTGTGTCAGTTCTCATCCACTGCTTTTTTAGCTAAAAGCAGAACTTGCCTGAGCCCCCCTGCTCCCTGTCCCTGCATGCCAGCCATGGTCGAAGGAAAGAGAAAGATGGTATTCAAGGTAAACCAGGTCGCATCCCCACAGGCTGGGAGCTTTTAGCCACTTCAGCTCCCAGCCCAAGAAGGTAGAACATGTAGAGAGCCCTTTGCAGCATCCTACATATTGCTGCCTTTCCCTCTCTCCTGGCCAGGGTTAGATGCAGGGAGGCAGGGGCAGCTGGTTGAGTAGATGTTGTGCCGGCGGGATGGCCTGTGCTGCTAAGAGCTAACAACTCAGCAAGAGGCCCACAAGACACAAGAGCTCACCAAAGTCAGTGGGAGATGGTCTGGTGGCTTCAGTAGGTTTGGGATCAGCGAATAGAGGGGTGTTCCCCTTTCCTGATGGAAATGGCTAGTGCGGAGAAGCAACTGCAGCGCTGAGTTGTGTAGAGCTGGGGCTGCAGCCTGGAGAGCCTCATCTTCCCCATGCTGCCATGATCCTCATCACCAAGCAGCCTGGAAACGGAGGTATTTGGTTAGGACATAGCCCCGTCTTCAAGACTGGAAAAATCTGAAGTGACTCAGTCCACCAGCTATTCCGCCTGCAGTCTGGCGAGAAGTCTAGTGGAAAGTTACTCCATGGCACTGGCCAAACCTGCCTGCCTCTCAGCTGGCTCCAGCACACCTGCATTCCCAAATTCTCCTCCCATCCTGCTGCGTAGAGGGAAGGATGAAAATTGCACATCCTAGAGCCTGACTAAACCTTGCTCCCTGTTAGCTTGTAAATCAGCCATGAACTAAACCAAAGAAGCAGTATCTATTCTGCAGTTGTTTCAGTAACTGAAAGGAAGTGCACAAAACCACCATCACAGGAATGACACAAGAAGAAATGGGCAGGGTAACGAGGGGACGAAGCAATTGGCAAGATCTGTTTAGCAAAGGAAACCAAAGCAATGAGTAAAAGTTTTGAGAAAAGGGCTAAGCGCTGCAGATACTTCACTAAAGATGCGAACTCTGAGAGCTTGGGCTTTGCTTTTATTTAGCAGAGGGCAAAAGCAGGAGGAGAGGCTGAAACATGCTGCTTTTTGCCAAGGCAAATGGCACTCAGTGTCAGGGCTTTGCTGGTAGTGGGGTGTAGCAGTTCCTCGGGCCCTTGGACCAAGTGGGAAGCAGCATGTGGAATTAAAGGGACCGGCTGGGACCAGCAGCAGCCTTATAATATAAATATAAATAATATAAAACCTAGCAGCAGAGAGCTTAGCAGCCCGGTCTGGTCTCATGTTTCAGCAGGTGGAAGATGTGATGTCCTACAATGCAATGCTGTCCAGCCCTTGCTGGAGGGACCCCACGCCGGCTCAGAGCTGCCTGGAGTAGCACGGCAAATGGCTCTCCAGTGGGCAGTGAACTCTGCACAGCCCCTCAGCAGCACGGCAAGGTGGGATCTCAGGTCAACTCCCTGCCCTGTGGCCTGGGGTTATTGTCCTGAGGAGGACCCGGGTCCTCAGAGGGAGCCAGCCTCTAATTCTCATTCATTCCAGTAAGGATCAAACCTCAGATTTAATGCGTTTCCGCACTGGCCAGGCACAAGCTAAAGGGTCAAGCCCCCAGCTGGCTTGGATTAGCTGTTCTCCACTGAAAGAGCTGTAAAACCACTCTGCCATATCAGCCAGGGATTGGTACCCATTTTTTCCCTCTAAATCCTTATTTCACCCGTGCCAGCTTTCCTATTGTACAAACTTGTGGTACAAAGGCCAGCAAACCAGGACACGCTGACGTTTCACCATCTCCAGTCACTGGTGCTGCTCTCTGCATGGAGCAGAGTCCAGCCCTCAGCCACCACAGCATGGGTGGGTGGGCAGTCACAGAGCCAGCACAGAGAAATACCTGCCAGAGGGCTGGGACCTCCCTCCCCATGTGCGGGAGGCAGTGGATTTCTCATCTGATTCCAGGAAATAAATTTGTTAATGCAGCTAGAGTTGCAATTAATCCAGGTCACTGCTCACACCTTCTCTTCAGCATCCTGCAGTTATTAGAAATGTAGAAGGGAAGGTCTGTAACAAAGCACTGCTGATACAGTTCACAGTCAGGTCACGGTTATTAATGAGCTTTCACCTCTAAGATGGCAACAGCAATTTCGGCACTGTGCTCTGCCATATGCAGGAGCGAGTCCAAGCCCAGGCTGCAGCAAGGACAACAAAGCTGCCTTGTGTCCTTCCTTCCCTGCCCCTTAGGTAGAGGGGAGGTTAGCCGTCACAAACCTCTGAAGGTTCGATGCTTTGCTTTTTTAGATAAACACAGCTCTATATATAGGACAGATACCTTAAATATCCATCACGTACATGCAGGGCTTTGCAGGCGGGCTGTAACTAAGGTCTGAGGCAAAGACTGTAGTCGTGAAATATTCATCCAAATGCGGCATCCTTTCGTGTGTGACAGTGAGAACTTTACAGACATATCCTGAGAAATTAATGACCCTATTCCTTTTTTCTTTCCTCCCTCTTCCCCCTTTCAAAGGTAAAAGTAGACGAGAGCCTTTCCTTGGACCACGTAACTCGGGACAGAGTGAAAATGACCCATGGACGCAGGCCACCCACAAGAAGTCACCTGAAGGAGGTAAGTGCACCCACCCTGGGGTGAGCCATCTCCCCAGCTGGAATCACCAAGAGCTGCTCCTTCCACTTAGGTACAAAACTCCAGGTACAAACAGCCCAGAGAAAGCTGACAAAGGAAACAGCTTCCTCTGGGAAAGACTGTGCCAGCACCTCTCTAACGAAGTTCCAGGTTCCCCTAGATCTGTAGCTGCTGCAACACATTACAATATATTTAGCTTTCCATAACTCACGAGCTGCTTCACCGTCTGCAGCCATTATAGTTTCACTTTAATCAGAAGAGACCGAAGCTCCTACATTTATTTTCTAAGAAGTGATGATTTTGTAGCCACAGTGGTCTGAAGGTAGAAGAACTGCATGGTCTGTGGGGAGAAGCTGTATTTTTTATTAAGCTAACTGGAAAAAGCAGACAAGCTTTCAAGCTTACAAGCCCTTGCTTAGGTCTGAAACAGAATACATTATTCTCCCAGGCACTTTTATGGACTAGCCTGTCTACTCTTAACTGATTTTCTGGATCTGTCACTTAAAAAAAAAAAAAAGAAAAGAAAGAAAAAGCACCACAAGATAAACCTGCAGTTCATTTCCATGGAAGAGGTTCTTACTAATGTTTGATTCCTGTGATTTATGAAAAAGTTTCCACAGACAGACTGATATTTTAGCAGAGCATTAATCTCAACCAAGGAAGGTTTTTAAATCAAACCTTGTTTCTTCAAACTTCCAAGACTCTGACTTATGTGTCTGCACAGCACACAGATGACCCTTGTGCAGAAAATGAGATGCCCCGAGACTTTTTACTTTGCATAGAAATGGAGGGTGTCTCTTCTATAGAAAAGCATGGGAATGAATCATAGATTCCCATCCACTCCTCCAGAAAACTGCAGAAGAAAACATGACAAAAGTCACAGCAGCGATGAAGTGTGGATTCTCTGTTGCCTAATATGGGTTTGGTAAGGTAGGAAGCCCTTCCCTAGGCACTAAAAAGATCTTTCTCCCCTGCTCAGCTCACTATTTTCATGAGATGCCTCCAACAGTAATATCCATAAGGCCTCTCACCTTCAGCCAAATTCAGGGGAGACTAGCTTACAAATTCAGACACAGTAATGAAGGGAAAGGGAGGGGATACAGCCTGCAGAAAGATGTGTATCACGGCTGCTGGCTGCAGTATTGTGAAGGAAATGGGATGAACAATGATTTTCAGTGCCAAAGCAGGCCAGGTGAGGACGGGTCAGGGCCAAGCCTCCAGGATGCAGCTTGCCTCTGCCTCTCTGATGGGCTGGAAAGGCAAAGAGAGACTTTAACTAAATTTTCTGCACTGCAGGAGTCTGGCCCTGGCTGCAGCTACGCCTTCGTGTGGTTTTGGGTTCCATTACACAGGAACTGTCACTGCATTTCTCCCTCTCGGGCACTGAGCTTACACACTGCAATGTCTTTACTAAGTCCATCCTTTTTAGGACCCCCCCCCCACTAGAGTGCTTTGCACACAGCCTGTGGTTTGAAGGAGGTTTAACCAGCTGACGCTTGGCCCCAGTAAGACAGGGATGACATCGGGTTGGAGGAAGCAAGCAGAAGGCAATGGTATTACAATAGTATCCCTGGCCAAGCAATCTAAAGATCAACTTGTTTTATATGTTCAAGTAAAAATACGACAGTTGCAAAAGCAGAAAGCAGGTGTGCTTCGGGTAGGCATGCTGTAAACGAAGGGCTAGAGGGATCCAGCTACCACAGGATAAAGAATTAAATTATGGCAGAGCTGACCGCTTAGCACCCACAAGAAATAAGGTTATTGTGGAACAGGCTTTGAGACGTTCTTCTCAAAGGAAGTAGTAAAATAAGTTCTGTGCTTTTGTCCTAATTCTTGATTGCTTATGGTTATTGGCTTTGATATTCTCGTGCAAGCTGCTGCACTATCAGGCAGAAAATAACTTGGCAGCTAAATGCTCATGACATTCACAGAACATGTTGGTCTGGGGAAAAAGCGGGCCTATACAGGGGGATGGAAGTGCTTCGCTCGATGCATTCAAGATTTGCTGCAATGTATGTCACTTGACCCAACTTTCTTGTTTGTTGGGTGAAATGTTTGGGACTCGTGATTATCATAGCTCATTAAATTTTAGCAGAGCAGATCACACTGGGTTTCACTTACCAGATTAACGCTGGTAGAGCTGGCTACTGCTGTTAAAGGGTAGTACAGGGTGATGCTGCATGGAAGAAGCGCAACCTCCATAGATTGCTCTTGAGCTACAGAAAAAGCTGCTCTTAAAAGAGCACCGTTTTTGTTATCAGTCAGATTCTCCTTGCAGTTTTGACAGATTTAAGTATAAATAGGGTGAATGTGTGAAGCAGTAACCCCTTGCTTGCCATGCTGGTTGTAAGGGTCTTGCACTTTACCTTGAAGTTAAAGGATGGACACAGGATTGATGATGGGATAGATAGTGAAAAAGTTCTCTCTTGTATTTCAGGCTGCCAAGTCTACATCAGATGGTATCCTGCGACTAGATCTGGATATAGTAGACAATGGACCGCCAAACTTTGATTCCACTATCAGGGAAAGTGACAATGCACCACCTCAGAAAGAAACTCCAAAGCCACCTATGCCACCCACAAAACCCACTGGCGCAAAAGAAAACCAAGATGCAGAGAACAATCTTCCTGAGCAGGAACATAAAAAACCTCTGTCTCCTCTGTTGCCTCCAGATAAGAAGCTTAAGGAAGGCATAGCATCAAAGGACAATGTAAATGCCAAGGAAGAGGACTCTGTAGGCCCAGAGGAGAATGTGGAAGGATCCCAAGCACCAAATGAGGAGAACAAAAATAACCTCATTGACGTCAGCAACAGGGGCATAGCAAAAGCTCCAATTCCTCCTCCTAAGAGTGTGCCAGACAAGCTAAAAGTAGCTTGGGACCAACCAGTCCCTGAGCCTGAAAACACAGAAGACTTGAAATCATCAGGAGATAGTAGCAAAGACAACCTTGCTGAGATTGCCACTGCAGATGTTACAAAGCCCCCTGTTCCTCCTAAGGTCCTGTCAGAAAAAATGCTAGCCACAATGAACTCCAGCCATGGTGACCTGGAAGCTGGTGGCTGGGAAGACCTGGAGTCTGGCAGCTCCAAGCCCCCAGTGAACGGGATCGCAGCAGGTGAGGTAGCAGAGGTCACATCCCCAACAGCTGAAACTGAAGAAGGAAATGGGAGAACTTCTGCTGAGAAGGAAGAGCAAACTTCAGCAGAAGAGATAGAGACTTCCTTAGCTACAGAAACAGGCCATGCAAGTGTCAAAGGAACTATTGAGAAGCAAGGGTCTGTAGAAAGTGCTTCAGGTCTCAAACTTCGCAGTTCTTCTCTGGGAGACTTGCTGTCTGATAGCAAAAATACACAGAGAGCACCTCCAGGCCAAGGTTTCCCGAAGGATTCCCATCAACACTTAGCTAAAATGGAGGAGAAAGTTGCTAATGAAAGGGAAAAGACAGAAAAACTTCTGCAGAAGGTTTTACGTCAAGGGTTGGAAAAGGCCCAGGAGGGGAATGGACCCCCAGTGATGGCAGAGACATTACTGAATGAGGCAGTAGAACAACTTCGGCAAGCTACACAAGTTTTGCAAGAAATAAAAGGTCTTGGAGAACTGAAAAAAGAAGCAACACAGAAACAGAAAGAAAAGCAAAAGGATCTAGTGACTCTTTATAGGAGAAGTGCTCCCTGACATAGTCTTCAAAGAGACTTCTTTCTCAAAATGAAAGCTAAACATTTGCCATTTATGATTTGTACCGTTGCTAGGCCAGTGTTTAAAAGGTGGTGTTTTGCTGTGCACACACCACGTTTATGGGACAGAATCGAGCTTTGAATTATAGCATCTTTCTCTCTTTCTTCTTGCTGTACATACCAGTCCAGTTCTAATCCTCTTAGCACAGCAGAAGGTTACAGGACGTTGAACGGTTTCAAAAATGTGAATGCTCTTTAAGGACTCTGTCCAAAGTCCTTTCAATGGATCAGGCCTTAAAAATTACTGGTAATCAAACCAAGCCAGATTTTTGAAAGGAGCAGAATGGCTATTCTAGCAAAAGCCCCTGTCTGTCTGTATTTACAGACAAGCAGATACCAGATTACACTGGCACCTATCTGGTTTTCCCAGTTAAATCATTTAAGGATAAATGTAGTCAGTGTTTGTTCACTTGCTGGCAAGGTTTACCAGACCACCTGGCCCAGTGACATCTAGGAATGTAAATATAAATGGTTTAATCTTCTCCAAAGATACTCATAAAACCACATCCACAGTTAAAAAGTGACCTCACACAGAGGCAAACAAAACTGGCCAACTCCTGACTACAAGTAGTGTCCTCAGATGTGAGGCAGCTCCACGAAGGCGCTCTTCTGAGTCTGGCTGTGCAGAGCTTTACATGTGCTAAGCACTGCATGAGTGAATGCAAGTCTCAATGCATCATTGCCAGGCAAGTATTCATTGTTCCTGTTTCATTAATAAGGAAATTGAGGCAACAAGGTTACACTTGGCCTTTGAAAGAGTGTCTTCTAGGAGCACAACACGTTCATTATTGAGGACCATACCTGTCTGGTAACTCTGAATCCTCTCATCCTAGTTGGGAACAATTAGCCAGGCATTTGGAGAACTTGTGTTCAGGAGATCCCTAGGAGCTTCTTTAAGAATCTTTTGGGATATGTGTGTTCCCTTAGCTGTAGGCTTGCTCTCTGTGTTGTCTTGGGATGTTAACTGACAGGAGCATGTACATCAGACAGCAGGTCTGGACGAGATCCCCCTTCCTATTTAACAGGTCTCTACCTTCTGAGTCCTGGCTAGCCTGAGAGCCGTGGTTTGGCACAGACGTCTGTAACTGAAGTACATGGAGGGAAAGGCATTTTGCACGCACAACTTAGGGGCTGGTCCCAGTGGCTTAAGTATATTAAAATAAAAATGCATTGCTACAGAAGGGTGTGAGGAAGGCATTGTATAAGGCTCTGGCACAATTCCCATAGCTTCCCTGCCCACCTGCTGAAAGCAACCACAGTTCCCGTGGTCTTTAGTGATTACAGCTGTGATAAAATCATGTCTTTGCACCGCTGCTGTATAGCCCTGTACCTGAGCTGGGTACCCTCCCCTATTCTCTGTAGTTGCTCTGAGGAGAATCATATGACAGCCTGCAAGGCTTCTCCTTTGCTAGAGCCAGACTCTGGAAGCACAGAAAAGGTCGATCTTCCCAGTCTGGTTTTAAGGAGTGACATGCTACCTAAGCTTTCTTCTCTTGTTTGCCAACACTGCCCTCTTAGCTCACCCATTTCTTTTTCTTCTGTTCTTTCTTTTATAATTTCCCAGATTCCACAAGGCTGTAATGGGCTGCAAACACCCCCCATGGCAGCAGCCCAGTAAAGCTTCATCTGAGCCTCTTCTTAGGCTAGGCAGTGGGCATTTCAGGTCTGAGCACAGAAATGTTGGCTTTGGGCTTCCAAATACCCTGTTTTTCACCACCCAGAGCCAGCAAGACAGGTAGTGACTAGAACTGATGCTTCTGCCTCTTTTGATTAAGCGAGCCTTGGTTTCACTGGTCTGTCCCCCTCTCAAGACAGCCATAGACATCGCATGGGAATTCACTCATTATTCTCTCACGTGGAAAGTTCTACACAGTCAAACACTCAGGGCTCAGGTGCCAAAAAGCTTTGCTTTGAGACAAAAAGTTTTCTATGTTCTAAGCCCACTCCCAGGCACACAGCCTGGAGCAAACTTTGGATCTGTGTCATTTGCTGCTGTAGATTCAATGTGAACCATGGGTCTTACTTGCCTTTCCAGACATGCTTAGGACAAGGGCTAATAACACAGACAATACTCAGTGCCTATCTGCTATCTAAATGTATTTTTCTGCATGTGCACTTTTGTTTACCGAACACTGTGTGGTATGAATGTGAGCTGTCAGAACCTGGTGTGCACTGGAAGTCAAGGGACATCAGCTTCAGGGAGTAGACAGGCTTTTGCAAGATGCAGTTCTATAACAAGAGATAAATTAGATGGGGAAAAAAACAGTTCACACTAACAGGAATATACACAAACCAGGGCAAGCTCTGGGTACAGGTTCATATCCCAAAGCTGAAGCCAGTCCTAAACTCCAGGATGGGCAAATCAAAGCCTGGAACTGAAAACCTAGGAGAATGGAAACAGCTCAAGGGATAGCTCAGTCCCCTAATGTAGATACAAATGCTTTTGCTCTCACAGGTGTTTTCTTGTGGCAGTGTGTTCTGTGGATACCCATCTGGCAAAGCGCTAATGAAAATACCCAGACATCCCTATCTGTTACAGCCAAACCTACAGGATGTGCTTATATTTACTGTATATTTTTATATTATACTAAATATTCTAATGAATAAATGTCTGACATTTTACTGAATTCCCATCAGTAGGAATCTTAACAGATAACCCCCCCCATATCTGTTAGGAAATGGGCAAGTTAAATCATTTTACAAGCAACAGCTAATTACTGTATTTGCTGTACTAACAGAACTTAGTAGATTTGTATTATGTCTTGTAAATACGTATAACTTAAGTAAGTGGAATGTCCGTAGCACCCAGTAACTCTATTGCTGAAAACGCTATGTTAGAGACTCTTTGGTTTTAACTGTTTTTTCTAATAGGGTTAGCAGTTCATCCTAAAATGTCTAGCTGGGCCGTAAGCCTGATTCACCTGGACTTTGCAGGAAACAACGCATCATGATCCTTCTGCAGTTTTCCCACTTGTTCTTCTCATTCTGGTCATGAGCCAGGCTCTGCCTAGGGCTGGAAACTGCCTTCTCGGGTGTTTTTACATGCTCCTCTGAAAATGGTAGTGCTGGTCAGAGTCACGAGACAGGATCCTAGTCTGCTCTGACCTCATACAGCAACTCCCATCTTCAGTGTGCGTCCTGCCACCATGCACCTTTTTTTTAAGTCTCCCTTTAAACTTTCATTTAAACTTACATCTAATTTCTGGTTGCACTAAGGCTGTTTTTTTGTGCCAGAAAACCCTCTGGGCATGGAGTGCTGGGGTGTGAGTCTGTGTTTTGGGCTGTGCCACCAGGTTACATGTCTGTGACAGGAAGGAAGTGTGTTTGCAAGCAAGCAAATGTGGATGACTATCTGAAAAGCAGCTGCTGCAGCCCGTGGAAAGGCAGCACTTTGTCTCCTGCTTGTAAAGAGCTTTGAGATTTGGCAATAAAACCGTCTTTTAAATATCAGCTGTTTAAGAGCCATTTGTCCTAAACAGGAGCAAAGAAGAGCCACCAGGAGTGGCACATTGAGGCTTTGCTCTGGAGGAGGACGTGCTGCACAGGCTGGGGTGAGCTAGATGCTGTGCTAACCACAAGCCTGGAGGAAGGAGAAGCGCTGGGGGCTGTGGCTGGCACTGAGCTGGAGCTGTGCGGATCCTGAGTCGCTCCTGACTCATCCCGGCCTGCCAGCTTGGCTGCCCTGGCCAGAAAGCACGGCTGAGGCCAGGATCTGCTCCTGCTCCTTCTGGAAAGCATCCTCATTGCTGAAGACCTCACCAAGTGCAGTCACCAGCAGTGCTGTCTGGGCTGCCCTTAACAGCTTCATGTGGACTCTCTGGTGTCTACAAAATGTTGAACTCACTCTGATGAGCAACACCAGAGCCTCGTTCCTCTGTCCAGATGCCAGTAAACTACAGGAAGATAAGCTGGTGTCACAGTGACTGTTTCCCTTCTGCAAAAACTGGGCAGAAACTGGTCAGTAGGTTCAAAAGTTACGAGGAAGCAGAAGAAAGAGTGCAAGTATACACACCATCCTATTGCACAACCTTGGCTTCATTTGGGTAAAAAAATGTGCTTAGCAAACCCTCTAACCCCTTGCTGGGAAGGGGGCTGTTCCTCAAAGGAATCTCCAAGACACGGGATTGATTTCTACAGATACACTGTAGAGAAAGGCACTCGCTTCCTCTCACACTAAGAAAACAGACATCACATTTTGGCCTTAAATTAATATTGGTAAGGAAGTGTATAGCACTATGTGAAAATTGATTTAAAAACACCCAAATGAAAACATACAGAGTATTGGCATATGAACCATTTGCCTGACTGCTTTTAATTCAATGAATAGTTATGGGTTACTGGTTCAAGAGACTGTGTAATTTGAAATAGAAAATGCAGGTCCTAGGTTCTGTCCAGTGATCCCACAGAACTCAATAATTTGCAACTGAAAAAGAGCAGAAAGAGCTCTTCCAGTCCCAGAGTGCCAAAAGATTTACTACAGCATTGGCTAGTCTACTCGGATGACTAATTATTCTTGCTATTAAAAAATGTGTGTTTTATCTTAAGCATGAGTCATCAACAGTGAAGCCCTCCAAGATTTCCCCGTTCCAGCTTAAGAGTTAGAAAATTGCAGTCACAGAAGATATCCATCGTCTTAGAGAATGGAGATCCCCGTTTTGTTATGCTATGCAAGTTCACGTACTTCAGAAAGCAAGTGCTTAATTTATTCCAGGAAACTTAGTCACCGTGTTCTTCTTGTGCCTTACCTCACAGCTAAGCAACCCACAATATTCCTGTGACAAGTGCCGATGTGATGTTAAAAGCATTAATGATTTCATTCTCAACAGCAATCCTGCTGTCTGAGGTCAACGCGAGGTACTTTAAGCCATGTATTTTCCATCTCTTCCTGGGTATCTGAGACCCAGTCCCACCACCATCACTTCAGAGAGCAGCTGGAGGCTTAGCCCTCACATCTCCTGCTGTGCAGCATTAGTCCCCTCTGCCCGAGCTAGCCCGGCTTGGCAGTTCAGAGGTTGTAAAACACATATGAGGAAACGGTGAAGAAATACTACCTTAGTGCAAAGATGATACATAAAGCACATGTATTCATACCTATAGGAAAAAAAAAGAAAATATGGAATATTGCAAAATGACATTTGTAAGAAGTTATTACAGGAGGGATGGCTGTCAACAGCTTATGACATAGACTAGTTAAAGGGAAAAACACAAAGTTGGCTTAATTTGCAGCAAAAAAAGATTGAAGACTTCTATTTAGAAGTCTTCCAGGCCCAGGGTGGATGTATTCTAGAATGGGATCCACAGGGAGACCTCCATCACTGGGATTTCTTAAGAGCAGATATGCAGAGAAGGTGGGTATATCTCACCCTCTTCTGCATGGAAAGGTGGATGAAACTGTTGCCTGAAGTCCTTCCCAGCCATATGGTTTCTGTGGGACACTGGCAGAAGCCTCAGCAACCAGACTCAGGGGCTAATAAACCCCACAGGCTATTCAGGTCTTTAACCCTGTTTTCCCTCTCGCTGGGGAGCTGTGGGATGACAAACACGGTGGCCTAGAAATCCCCCGCAGACCCTGCTCACACCTCAGCCTGGCCTGCTCTCCCCAGCTTTCTTCTCTTCTCCTCTTCTGCTCCAGAGTTCAGTTCTCGTCTCTCCTGATTTTCCCATCTCATGTGCCTTCTCTGCCAGAACAAGTGATTCCTAGAAAGCTCAGTGATGTGTTGATAGAAGCTGTCCATAAGTTTTAGTTGTATTGCTGCCAAGAAAACCTCCTTACTCCTCACCCCTGTTGGATTTACGAGCCAGTTTCTACATCCCCATGGGGTATAAGTTTACACTTTGGAACGTGGGCATTTTTCAAAGTCAGGAAATTAATTTTAAAATTATTTG